GTTTTACAATCACGATTCCTGCTCAATGTTGTGATATCTGTCAGCAATCACAGATGGACGATGACATCGTCTATCGGCCCAACCCTATGCCAGAGTTCACTTGTCTTCAAACATCTTCATTTTGAATTATGAGCTAAATATATTTTATATATATATATTTTTTGAGGTTGGATTTACTCTTCTTTGTCTTTTAAGTGCTGTTAAGTGCATCTCTTCCTGCGGACCAAACTACTAGATCTTCCACAGGAACGAGTTACGCAGCAGCAGATTCTTTGTAAAACCTTTCATTGTCAGGCTGAATAACCATCATTTTAATGAAGATTAGAACAGAGACAGGCATGGCTTTTTTCCAAAAACTTAAAAAGCTATTACTTTTATCATGCAACTCTCTTGATTATTTTGATTAAAACTCTCTTCTGACATGGTGATAGTATCTATTTACTTTTTTTAAACTGCAAATTGATCAATTATACAGAAGTATAGATTGGTGAACAAGTGAAATAATACAACCTTTAAAACCCTGCCTTAAAAGTGAAATAAATCCAGTTTTATAAGCCAACATGAAAAAGTATTAACATCTGCAGTTCTGTGACAACTGTACAAACTCTTTTTGCTGATGAAGATCATGTCATATGATCAGAAAAGATATGATTGGAGGCGTCATCTACTAATTGGACTTTTTTGAGATTATTTCCTAACTGCTGTTTCCAAGGTCAAGAATGAACTTTGAATCTCAGTCAAAGAATAAAGTTGTTGTAAAATAACTTCCTTGAAACATGCCTCGTATATTAAGTTAAAATAAGAGTCAAATTGCAATTCATGTGAAGTTTCATTATTATTTGGTATTTCTGGTCATTTACACTTCATGCACTTGGGTAAAACTTCCAACTTTGGTCACAACTGCACTCTCCTGCAATACTAAAAGCAAGCCATTGTTGCTGAAGTAAAAATAAAACCTCTTAGGATCCAGGTTTAACTCAACATTGCACCGTCTTCCAGTGTTATGTAAAACTTGTTCACTTGATCATATCTGGATCAAGTTGGAGGTGATCTGTGTGGCAGTGGTTTGTCAGATATACAAACTCGCATCAGGCTGGTTTTGGCCCTGATGCTGCAACAACCAGCGGTCTGCAGGGGCTGACACAGAAACATCTTTCTCTCCTCAGAAGCCTATGTCTCTCTCTCAGCCTTAACACATGCACACACACAGAGGTTCTGTACACATATCCAGTGTCTCTATATTAAAACCTGGAAGGACATGACCTTTTAGGAAAACACTGGTCCCACAGACACACTCATACATACACACTTTTACACACTAGACTGTTGGGACTCATATTTCTGAGCGTGCTCATGTCCAATTGCTGCTATTTCTCTACAGACCTAAAAGTAAATACAAGATGTTATATATATATGTATATATGTATAAATACACACACACACACACACACACACACACACACACTCATACAGGGGTACCCAGCCAGTGAATGTGCGAAATGTAGCACACTGTTGAACCACGTCCCCCCCTGTAGAGAGGAATGAAAAGAAATTGACATGATGCGATCCGCTACAGAGAAGACTGGGACTACAGTAAACAGTGGTGTTGCTGAATGGAGCTTCTTCCCTCACAAACAGTCTGGCTGAGTACAGACACTGGCCTTTAGAGAGCACTTAAACCCTAAAACAGACAAATTCAATTTAGGTCTGTTATCAAGTTACTTATGGAATTAACGTTAATTACCGACAGCTGGTATAAACTGCCACCGAGAAGCTTCTACCTGGATGTTTTGTACACTGCTCTTTGCTAATGATTATTACCCTTGGAGTTTACCAAATCTGTGTATATTGCCAACCTCAGTGTCCAAACTTAGTGTCGCTCACCAGTGCATCCAAATAATTTTTACCCACATCTGCACCGAAATGCTGCACAGTAGAGCCTGTGGTAAAGGAGAGCAGCACGGCAACACTAGCAGGCTGAGGTGGACAAAACAGAGTAGAGTACAGCACAGAAAGTATCATATTTTGATTGGCTTTATTTTAGCTTCATTAAGATATGTCTGGATTGGCCCCCATACCAATTCTTAGGATTGGCAGTGAGGACTCTTTTGGGTATATAGCTGCCTTTAGCCTATTTGACTTAATGACAATGTGTATATGGTCGCTTATACAACTTGCCTTCACGTATGCATGACTATGTGTGTGTATGTGGCCGTGTTTGCGTGGATTAGTTGTTGTAATCACCAGCCAAAGTATCTGGCTGAACATTAGATGTTTGGAACCGGATCAGAAGAAAACATTTTGTTTATTGAACACAGCTGAAGCAAGGAGGGAATATGTTTTCTACTCTGTGTGTGTTCAAGTTGAAACAAACAGTAAAACATTTATTCTACCCCAAACCTTACACTCGTATAACAGAGCTGAAGAAAAGCATAAAACTGACTCCGTTGGCAGAAACTGTTTCTGGAGCCTTGATGTCAAACATGCTGATAGATGTGTGATTTGCAGGTTTGACGCTGAAAGATATATAGAGAGAGTATATACTGTATGTTCATATGTATATTGTGTATATATACAGTGTATGTAAAGGGTATAAGGGAATGGCTTTTTATGTAGCCAAGAGTATGGTGTTAATGACACCATAGTTAGTAAAACCACACACATTCAGTTTGCTCTCTCTGCTCTTTGAACATATTTGGATGAAAGGGTCCTCTTTAAATCATGAGTGAAGTGATAATAGAGGAGTCAACTGGCCGTGTGTGCAACATCATGTGTTTATAGTCGAACATGAACAATCTTTTGGGCTAAGTTTTATAAGTGTAGATATCATTATTTCCCCTTTTGGACGGTAAAGAATCAGAGGATCTTTATATTATTTTATATAAAGTAGCTTTATTCACATTGAGCGATGTATTTTATGTTTTGGAATCTTTTTAATATAGACACCTTATTTTACCCAAGATAAATCACCACAGGACAATCACTAAACCTGTTCTTTGTCTTTACTTCAAGGTATCTTTATGCACATAGTCCCAAGATAGAGAATATGTAACTTTTCATCCTTTATATAGCTCTTTATGTTACCTCCACCTCAAATCTATTAGTGTATGTATAGTTTATGTTGTTAATCAAAACACGTGTCTTAGTAGATTTTCTGTAGTCTTTGCCATCAGTATCACAGTACACAGCTGCTTTACATGCTGCACTGTATAGACAGTGGAATCGGTCCAGCCCCCCTCTGTGAGCGGGCCTGTAGGAGGTCTGCCCAGTAAGGTTTACAGGCTCTCACCAGGCATGGGGGAGGGCGTTTTAAACCATATTCCCCCTTCACATCAGACCCCCATGCTGATGCTGCTCGGCTTCAAACGCGCTGCCCTTTCTCAGAACACGCTGTGCATGTGGCAGGAGGGAGGGATGAAGGGGGAGTCAGATGGAGGGAGGGAGGGAGGAGTGAGGTGCAGGAATACCGGCACCTCAAGTTACCACTTAGTTAAATAACACCAGAATGCACGCACCCACACATGCACTGACACACCCATATAGGAATTCACATCACACACACAAAGATACACACAAATAACCACATACAGGGTCCACAGCCTGCCAGTATGCTATTAATACCAACCCCCAGGATGCAGGTCATGCCTAGATTTGCATTTCAAATGCATCTTTCATTGCATCATCCAAATAGTGATGCTTTAAAGACATTTGGCTCTGTATTAAACACTCTGAGCTTTCAGGTGGTCTTCTAAAATCCATGCACAGATCCATATATGTACCAATGTGCACGATAAACATATCCATTTACAATTACGCATGCACTCTCACATTTTTCCTGCAGGTGGTCCAAGGCTTTCTTTCTTTTTTTCCATAACTACCATCAGGTTTTGGTTGAAGTTTCAGGTTCAAGCCAAGTTAACCACCCCCCCACCCCCCACCGCATGTATTTTGACAGACCTGATATTGCACTGTATCAGCCCTCCCCACCTCCCTGTAAAGGGCCTCTCGGAAACATTGGTTCCATCTTGAAGCGGTTCCTAGCATGAAGGTCCAGACAGATGTTTGTATCTTTTTGGTAATCAATGTGGGAAGACATGCTGAGAGAGGGAATCTGATACACCAGCGTGAGAGTAAAAGCAATATGATACTGTAGACTATGATATAGGCACATACAGTATAAAGGTATTCAAAAAGAATTTGCCATTTTTACCATGTCTTTTTTTTCCATAAAAGGAAATTCAGTTTTCCCCTCTTTTAAGATATTTAAGGCACAAATTTATGATCATACTTTCTCACTAGCATGAGTCAGGAAGGGTTAAGGGTAGAGGCATGTTAGTGGACTCATTTTATGGCTTTCATCACCAGTGAGTCGCAGTAGCAACAAGTCTCTGGCGCAGTCACGCTAATGGACATAAATATCATATTATTTGTCATTTGTCGTATTTGGTTTTCTGGTTTGACAATAAATGGGAAATCTATGGTGGGGTGTCGAGGGCAGAGTACAGGATGGAAAATGTGTTTTTGAAAGCCAGAAGTTCTGTGGAGGAATCGATCCTCCAGTGTGCCTGTCATCAGCCTGTTTTTCTAACCACTGAACCATTTAAGTTTTCCTACTTTTTCTGTTTTAGTTTTCACCTTAAAGCCCTGTGTACTTAAGGTCTAAATATTTTAAAATGTTAAGTGATGCTTTTGCTTTCCACCTCCCCAACTTGTAACAATCCACATCCAATTTGTGAGATTGGACCAATGTATCACTTATATCTTGAATTTATGAACAATCATGCAAAATGACCCCATGCTGAAACAGCTGCATCGTATAAAACAACTGTCAGATGCTGAAATCCTGACTTAATCAGCACTGACGACTGAAAGTAGAGGTGAATATTTCTTTGTCTGATGGTTGGGGTTTGTTGCATTAAATAGTATATTACTCACAATCAAGTATTTAGAAGTTGTCAAATCACTAATGATGTTTCTTGTGTTTCTTTCTCCCTCACTAGATGACTCCAGTTCAAGAGGTGGAGCAGGGATGAACGACGGTGACTCTGAACATGCCCCAGAGCTGGCTGGGAAACTGGGTAACCACTCATAACTTCTCTGCTCTTATCACTACATGCATATAAACATTTGGAAATGAGAAGGGAGCCTAGAGGTGAGACTTCAGATAGCTCAGCGTGTGTAACATTTTAAAAAGTACAGTAGCTGAATGTCCAATAAACACCTTGTACACTGTCCGAGGGGAGAAGGTGAGGGCATATGCACACACACAGACAAGCAGATACACACAGGCTGGGTGGTTGTTTGCTCAGATAATTGGCTCTGACAGAGTGGAGAGCAGTCTATTTGTGTGAGGTGTGATTTGGTGGGACACATTCCTTCCTTCTCCCCCCTCTCTCAAGTCTCCCTGGTCCCGCTGTCATGTAACTTAACCCTTCTTTCTTTGCTTGTGGTTATCCTTTTATCCGAGCCTCTCTTCTTCCCCTTCTCGTACTCTGACTTTCTGTCATAAATGTCCATGCACACTCACACTTAAATATCAACGAACATTTACTCTCATAGCAATGTGTGTGTGTGTTGGTTTTTTTTCACACCGTCTCTTTATCTATTTGCCTCTCTGGGTTAGGGCCAGTCTGGTGAGGCAGCAGGGATGCCTACGCAGGGGGCTATTGCAAAAAAATGCAGTCGCGCAGCAAAAAATTGGATTGTGATTATAAACAATAAAATAGATAATGTAACATGAAAAGTGTATTTTTGCTGTTTTCCCATATAGACGAAATTATTGCCTCTGTGATAGTGCTCTAGTTGTAAAATTCTGTAATTCTTTAAATGCATTAATCTTAGGGATGCACCAAAATGAAAATTCTTGGCCGAAGCCAAAACCGAATATAATGGAAAAAAAATTGCCGAATACCAAACACTGAACAAGTACATTCACATTTTTGCCATTTTTTACCATTGCATAAATTAAATAGTCAAATGTGTTGTATGTGGTTCTCGTATAGCGTAACATGAAGACTTCAAAGCCTCTCTTCAGGTAGGGCTCTCATACTGCAACACTTGCCTTTGTAAAGAGAGAAACTGACAGGATAAAGTCGCTAACCTGCCTGTCAGGTCCATTTCAGTGGATTTACCATAAAGGCTTGAATAAGTGTGCACTCCAAATTTAGGTGCGGCTAGCTTAATCGCCTTCTCAGAAACGAGTGACAGAAACACTCAAAGTGGGTCAGACCGTTTGTCGCCTTTTCTAGGAAGTCAGCCAAAGATGGAGTGGATGTGCAAGGAGACAATTCAGCAGAACAGTGTCTGCAAACGGCAATTTTTGCGTTTTTCTCTGACACTTTAAAATGCTTCCACACTGCCGACATGTCAACGTAATTGTTCGGTAAAATTTAATCGGCCTTTTGATTTATTAGGCCGAACACCAAAAGTGCTTTTTTTAACTATATTCAGCCGATTGATTTTGATGGCCGAACATTCGGTGCATCCTTAATTAATCTGTTCCTCCAACTGGACTTTGTGGAGTGTATTTTTTTGATACAGTGAATGTATTGGTAAATACAACTACATGTGTAAAAGAACAGTTTGCTATTTTTGTTTCTTTTCTTGCCGAGAGCTAAATGATAAAATCAGTACCACTTTTTTTTTCACCTGTAATTTAAGTACAGGTTAAGGCTGGCTAAGGCCAGGAGGCAGTTAACTTAGCCTAGCCTAACAAAAGATGGGGGAAATTGGTGGCTCTGTCCAAAGTTTAAAAATCCGCCTCACAGCACCTCTAAAGCTCGCTCAATTAACAAGTTATATCTCATTTGTTTAATCCATACACAAACAGAAATGTACAGTTTGTGGTTTGATGGGAAGTTATGTGCTATAACTATTTTAGGACGCACAATACTTCAGTGCAGCATCTCAGCTGGTTTGCTGACGTCACTACTCCCAGATGTTATTTTTAATCAAGAAACACTTTCAACTTCTTATAAAACTACAAATACAAATTATATTTTTTGTTTGTGTATGGATTAAACAACAATAAATGTGTCTATAACTGCTCTATATGAAAAATGCAATGAGATAACTTAAGAGGTGTTGTCAGGTGTGTTTTTGAATGTTGGAGAGAGTCAGGCTAGCTGTTTCTTCCTTAAATATTCACCTTAAACCTAAGCATAGACGGTTATGCCATTGAGCAAAGGTGGGCAATTGACCGGGGCCTCGGCCACCAGGGGGCCTCGCAATTTTACCCTCCTTTTCAAAGTCTTTAGTGTGTGTTGCTGCTGGTAAGCTAAGACTGGGCCTCTTCCGGACTGGTGAGTTTGGTTTAGAACACCGCCACAGATATTCCCTGAGCTGACTGGACTGTGTGTGTGTGCTCCGATCGCCACAATACGCTAACTTTGTGTATCTTTCGGTTGTGCATATTCCTTGACCACCAAAGTGGCGGATAGCTCAACCATTTCACTCTCCACTGCCAGAATTAACCGCATTTGGCGGGTGGTGGGTGTTAATTTCATTCCCTGCACCCAACGGAATACAATAAATTCAGTCAGGTACTCAGGCAAATGCTGTACAACAAAGCACCGGCCGGTGGTAACTCCGGTTTTGTCGGAGAATTGCTTGTCTATTAGACGCGAGAGGGGTTTTATTTTCGTTGGCGAACTTTTGCCTTGACACTCAGTATATTTTGTTTCCTTGCTGGGATATGGATATGGACTCTATAGTGATTTAAACTCATTCATTGGTGGTTGAACTGTGGCTTTGAATTGAGTGACTGACTGACTGAATAACATACTGTGGTGAACTCCGATATAATATGACTGAATTGCCATGTCTTGACTCTCAAATTATCTTTCTATTAAATTATTATAATGTGAAACTTCTTCACTACTCATCAAGCAACCCATTTTATTCTGTCCCTTTGTAATATGCTTTCTTTCTGTCATGGCTGACATACAGTATACAGTAATAATTTACTTTGATCGTGTATCTTCAATTGAAAATACCTGGTTCTTAAGTAAGGTGTGGAGAACATGTACTAAAAGACATGAGTCCTTTGTGCATGCATGCAAACATAAATGTATGAACACTGAATGACATTATTAACATTAAATGATGCCTAAATGAATGCTGAATGTTATTCCTTAATTTCACGCATACATTTTAAAAGTGGCAGATGAAATGTTCAGTGTTCAGCATTTTACACCTGCTTTGTGAAATGCTTGCCATGCATACATTACAAATTTCCGATTTGAAATATTTCCACACTGCAGACATTTTAGCATGGTCCTGTCATAAATGGAGAGCAGTTTGTTACATGACGTGGGTAAAATTTCTGAAGTGTGGAAATATTTTTAATAGGAAAATTCACCCAGGATCCAGTGGCTCTCCTTACTCAGTTTCACCCAGTGTTGGCAGTATAATGCTGGTTAACTCACCTCTGAAGGCTTGCTCTTAACTACTGCAGGTTTGCTTAGGGAACATCAATAAATTAATGTTGTTATAATAGTGTTATGGAAAAATCACAATTTTCTTAAGGCTTCCATGTCATGTGACCTAGGGACTCCAACCCAATGCTTAATTGTACTACTAGCAATACACCCCTTCATATTAAATTTGAGTGGATTTATTTATTTATTTTTCATTTTTATTCATATTTTTATGGAAAAACAGCTTTTTTTCAGGAGTCCCTGAATCACATGAAACAGAAGCTATTGAAAAAAGCTGTTTTTTCATAAAAATATTAATAAGGGGAAGGCCTCCAAGTTCTTCTTTGCCCAGGGCCTCCAAATCACTAAAACAGCCACTGAGTTTAATGTAATTGTAATTCCTATAATAACCCTAAACTCAAGCCCTCACCTTAACTACTCAAATCAAGATTATCCAAAATGACCTCAACCTCAGTATTACAGTTGGAAATAACAGGGCTCTCTCTCACACTCTCTCTCTCTCTCTCTCTCTCTCTCTCTCTCCCTGTCTTTGGCACACTGTCTGATCAAAGGCGGTCAGTCAGAGGGTAAGCTATATTTTTACACTTGTGAAGTGTGGCGTTGAAGTGGCCCCAGAGACCCAGAACAAGTCTGCCCTTTCGCCCATTCTGGCTCTCACCTTGTCTCATCTTTCCCCTCTCTTTGTTCACCCTCGCTTCTCCACACGTTTTTCTTTCTGTCTACCTCTTCGTGAGCCCTCTCTCTTACCTTTGCTTTTTTATTGTTTTAACTCCATCTCTCATTCTTTTAATCTCAATTTCTCTGCCGTCACTCCAGCTTTATTTGTCTGTTTTTAGCAATCTGTCAGTCATCTGTGTGCTAACCTTAATTTGAACTTCAGTTCACTCTTTCTTTTTCCATCTGTTTTCTCCTTAACTTCTGTTTGATTTGGTTCAGCTTAGACAATATAAATCAGCACATTTCAATAGCACTTTGCTGTATTTTGTTCATTCTCTAGTGTTATCTGTATACAGTCCAATTCAACTGCACTTTGCCTTGCCTCTTCCCTCCTCTTTTCAGTTAATTTCAGTCTAAGCCAGCACAGTTGAATTTATGCAATCAGCAAAGTAGGACATTGCCAAAACATTCAACTATTAATCATTTTCTTGTACTTCTCCACTCTACTTTCCCAACTCTGTTAGATCTATTGACTCAGTCTGTTCACAGTTCAGATGCAGTCCAGTAGCTTTTCTTAGACACGGGGGGGTGGACAAAGGCGAGACTTAGAAGCTATTCGAGTGTGTTTGTTTTGTCACCCTGCCCAGCTTCCTGTCGGTCAGCAGAGAACTATATTCCGCTGAGTAATGCAGCCATAGTGAAATCTCCGCATTTGAGCGCGCAAACCCATCACATAACTCTGCCCCCTATTTGTTTACCTACAGCTGGAATAATAACTGTGTCCAAAGAAAGAGACGCAACTGCAGTAGTTTCAGGGTGATTTATCGCCCCGGTTGATGGCTATCTGCTGTGGTAAGAACATGAGGGCTGTAAAATCAAGCGCTCCTGTGAATGATTTCCTCTCCTCCCTCCCTGCTGTACGTTTTTTTTCTCTTTGATCTGCTTCCCGTGCTTGCTGATTGTTGTGTTTCTTTAAAGAGGGATATGTCTGGATGAATGGATGCATGAGCATGTATAGGTTTTATGTAAGGAATATGTATCTTTGAATGGCTGCGTAAAGGGATGTGGATGTTTGAATAGATGTATGGGGTTAACTGGCCATTTTATGTTTTGTAATGAAGGATTTGCATTAATGAGTGGATGTTTGGTGTGATGCTAAGTCACTGTCTGTCTTTTTATGAGTTGTGCACACTACACAGATATGCATTCGTGAGTGGTTATTTACAGAGATGTTACATAATTGTCAAGGGGGCGTCTGGGTTTTACGAGGGGATCTCAGGGATGATTTTGTAAAAAAAAAGATTTAAAAAAAGGCTTTTTTAAGAGCAGCTTACAAACCAAGGGCAATAGTTGCTGGACTAGTAGAAAATCAGGATTCTGGTGTGTAGGTCTGTTTGTGTATATGCATGTTTTTGTGTGTAGGTTCCCGGTCATGTGAGTAAGTATTATGTGTCAGGGAGAAGAGGAAGTGATTAAAACATTTTTATCAAACAAAACAATTAGGATTATTACAGCAAATTAGGTTGTGTATACCACGAGGCACACTGCCATATGTTAACGTAGCCAACATTGAAGTCTTGGCACTGCCTCCGGCGATGACTTCAGCCTGTCTGATTCTCCTTACACTGCAGAAAATGTATACCTTAACAAGTTACCAAGTCTCGTTCTCAGTCCTAAAAATTCACTCAGTGTAAAAAATCTGCAGACTGAGAGGATTAAATGTGTTCCTAATTCAATTTATCAGTATGTTGTAACAACGTAAACAGAAGCCTTTTCACACCAGGCATGAATGTACTTGTGTGTAGATGCAGATTATTATTAACTCCACAGAAATTGATTTCATACTGTGGAGTGGAAGGTTATGTGCCAGTGCAGAATGTCCATGGGGCAGAAAATTTTATTGTAATCACATTAGTTTGCTGCATATGTCTTCATGCATAAACAAGGATTCAACCAATAAAATGTAAAATTGTTAATGAAAACATAAAACAACAGTGTTCATAAAGCCAATCAGCAAGCTACAATATCTGTGTGAGAGTTTCTAACATTTCCAGGGAAACCTATGGATAATGCACAGTCTCCATACTGACATCTTGAATTTTCTGAAATGATGAAAATGTGCTTGTTGCCTAATCGACTAGTGCATTCCAAAGAGGTAGAACAATGGAGTTGGACAAAAGTGTTTTTAGAGCAAAATAAATTTAAATAAATGAAATAAAAAACAAAGTAAAATACAGTAATATCTTTTAAAATCAATGAAAGCAAAAAGAGTTACTTTTTTGGAGGTAAAGACTTAATAAAAACTGTAACTCATGAGGCATAAAACCTTTCTGAATACTCTGGCTTTGATCGCTCTGTACATCTCATATAAGACTCCACATTCTTTCCCAATCCGTTCTCTTTCCACTGGTCTGAAGAACAGAACACTGCTTGTAAATATAAAACTGCTCTGTAAACCATTTCTCTGCCAATAACTTCTTCTGTTCTTTCCTTTATTTTCCTACCCTTCTTTTTCCCCACCTGTCGCTGACTGAGAGGGTGAAAGAGTGTTTCTGTGTTATTTATCTCTTTACATTTACACACATTCTTTTGGTTTACATTTGTATCCAGACTAACGCTACATTAAGCATCCATATTTTAGAGGCAATCAATACCAATACAACTTGTTTCAAAATACTATATTTCTTTGTTATTAGGTTTAAATTTTCCCTTTCACCCTCTCTCCACTTACAGTACGTCCACGTTTCACCCAGCCATCAAAGATGAGGAAGCGTGTCATCGCTCGCCCAGTGGGTAGCTCAGTGCGTCTGAAGTGTACAGCAAGCGGAAACCCTCGCCCCGACATTGTCTGGCTGAAGGACAGTCGGCCGCTGATGGACGAGGACGGTGGAGCAGGAGGGGAAGGGAAGAAGAAGAAATGGACCCTGAGTCTGAAGAACCTGATGCCAGAGCACAGCGGGAAGTACACCTGCCACGTCTCAAACAGAGCAGGAGAGATCAATGCCACCTACAAAGTGGAAGTCATACGTGAGTTAACATGTACTCTAGAAAGCGAAACTGAGTGGCCAACCTCAAAGATATAGATCAGTTATCAAAACAGAAAAAGGTCACCTTATCAACTTTGATAAGTTGTTTTTTCCTTTTGAAGACTGGGTGAAGCTTAATGCAAGGAAGAATCTGCCCAGTTGAAGTGTCCAGTCCTAGTAGAGCAGGAGAGGTCAATGCCACCGCCACAGTCTGTCCGAGACATTAAAAATCTACCAGTATCCTCCAAAACATTGCAGGAATTTCCACTTAATTTTTCCTTATCCTTTGATCTGTTAAAAAAAATTCAATTAGTATATAAAATATCAGAATGCAGTAAAAAAAAATGTTTTTAGGGTCCAATGTGACATTGTTAAATAACTAAAACAAATACATCTACACTTACTGTATATAAAACAGAAAAGCAGCAAATCCTCAAATTAAAGCTGATGGGAAAGAAGCCATTTTTGCCAGATAATGACAAACGACAATGAAAGTTGTTTATTTATTATCGACTAATCGATTAATCAACTAATTGTTTCAGCACTACCTTTAAGAGATCAGATGTAACAACCTAAGAATGTGCCTGTAAAATGTCTGTGTTAAAATATGGCTGCATGTGGTCATTTCATGTTGCAAAACATCTGAAAGTACACTGAACAAAATTATAAATGCAACACTTTTGTTTTGCCCCCATTCATAATGTGATGAATGAATGAATAATGATCTAAGACTTTCTCTATGTACACATTTAATATAGTATGTTGAACGTGTTCACCTAGTCATAAAAGTAAGTTGTAGATTGCAGCATTAAATAAGACAACAGCAGAAGTGCCTGAAGTGTGTTTCATTCAGGTTATACTAACAAATTTGAACCACAGGGATGGTATCACCCAACATTTTCATGTTTCAGTCTTGTATTAATTAATTAATTTAAGTTTTTAAGTATTGCAAAGTAGAGCTAGAATGCCCACGTGTGCCAATGTGCAGGTTAATGAGTTAAAAGTTAACCTGAATAAAAGTTTTAAATAGCATCTGTGGCATTTATTGATTACCACTAGGTTTGTCAGTAAACATCAGTCAAGCGAGTGAGGAATGTTCAGCAGGGTTTTCAGTTTGGAAGGTTTGCCAGCTGCAGATTTAGTCTAAAGAAGTCTAGTGTTGCTTTTGACAGCAGAATGTGTGTTGTGAGTGTTTCAGGTTGTGTTGGAAGGCTGCAAAAGATGTTTTGGTGCTTGATTTAATGTTAAGCTGTTTGGTGGAGTGGAATGTGTGTGTGTGTGTGTGTGTGTGTGTGTGTGTGTGTGTGTGTGTGTGTGTGTGTGTGTGTGTGCGCGCGTGCACTGAACTGTATGTTACTGAATGTGATAGCTCTGTTGAGAGCCTCAGACTAGATTTTCTCACTTCACTCACCACATCTGTTGCATATTAAAGTACAGCTGTAGTCTTTCCTGAGAGACACTCATGTGTGTGTGTGCATACACTCACACGTGTGTGTGTGTGTGCACACACTCACACAGAGGAAGTAAATCAAGCCACTGCTCGCTTATGTCAAATGTGACATTTTCTCGATCAGTAGAGATTCACTCAGCTGTCAGTCATTCACAGCTGTTAGAAAGAAAACTAGAAAAAAGGAGTCCTGGACATATATAATCCATAATTAGTTATATTTGAGTATAGTACACCAGGAACTAAATTCCTTTATGTGATAATTTATCTGATTTATATGGTTTTGCATCTACTTGATTAAAAGCTAGGATAAAATTCATGTTACCCCTGCACTGTTGTCCAGCTTGACATCAACTTGTCTTCAGCATTACCTGACCACCTAAAAGCTGAATGAGTGGCAGTGTTGTTTGCATGTGTGGTTCCTTTGCATTACATTCCCTCCTTAAAAGTCAGTCAAAGTTTGGAAACTGTTGAATTACAGTAATCCTGCAACAAAACTGAGAATGCCTTTTAAATTCTGCAGAAGAAAGGCTTCAACAGCTGATCAAACAGGATAAAAAAAAATCTATCAAATTTTCTTGGGTTATGTTCTCGTGAGGTTGCATTACAGATAATAAAAAAGAGACTATTGAATTTCTCTACCAGGTGTGTTTATTCTTCTGTATAAACTGAGAAAGAAAAGGTAGGAGCTGAAGATAAGGGATCTTCCCAGAGAAGGGAGGATGTGGTGCTGAAGACAGCAGATACTGTGCAAATAATGCTTGCAAACCATATTCTATACTCTCAGGGCTGGTGCGTTCTTTTTTAAGCTTCACACACTTCACAGTTAAAAAAAATTGAATGAAAAGAGTACAGTATAGTTTCCTCACTGTGTCTTTACCCAGATTTTAGTTGTGGTTACAGATGAATTTGACAGGTTTAAAATAAAACAATTTCTTTTATTCACACTTTGTCAGCTGAAATAAAATTGAATATACTTTCTCTTTTTGTGTGTTTGTCTCTTTTGCGTCTCTTTCTTCAGAGCGTACCAACTCTAAACCCATTCTGACCGGTACTCACCCTGTCAACACCACCGTGGACTACGGAGGAACCACATCTTTCCAGTGTAAAGTCCGCAGTGACGTCAAGCCGGTTATTCAGTGGCTTAAAAGAGTTGAACCTGGTGACGAGAACAAATTTAACTCCACCATAGAGGTACAAAACCATGCACTGCCAAAACCACTTGTACATGAGAACACAATTCTCTGAGAAAGATTATGGTAAACTAGTAATATTTGACTGAACTGATCAATAAACATTTACATTGTTGATTTTACTCAAAGGTTGGAGACCATCGCTTTGTGGTCCTGCCTACAGGGGAGGTTTGGTCGCGTCCTGACGGATCCTACCTCAACAAGCTGCTGATAACCAGAGCCAAGGAGGAGGATGCCGGCATGTACATCTGCCTGGGAGCCAATACCATGGGCTACAGCTTCAGGAGTGCCTACCTGACGGTGCTACCAGGTCAGAGAAAGAAAGCGAGAAGAACTAACATGCACACGGAGAATTGTATACATCAGGTGCAGCTATGTAACATTTAATCGTGAGGTTTACAATACAAACAGGAAGATACTTGACCAGCAAGTTTTGATCAACAACAGTAAACCTAAAAAGTGATTTTGCTACTGTAGCTAGTGCTAGTACCAGTTACATGAAAACACGTCTAATGCTAGCCTTTATTAGATACATGTCTCCACACTTGAGGTTATCATCTATATGTATTTACTTGCTAACCGGCTAACAAAATGTTAAGCTAACTAGCATGTTGCAAACCATCCAATCTTCCTCAGCTACCTCTACACTAGCTAGCAACAAAGCATACATCTCTCTATAATATCACCAGCTAGCAACATGCTAGCTAACGGCATTTTAAGCTAATTAGCTAACTGCTCAACCCAACAAACGTTTTTTTAAACATTTAGACAGATGATTCTGTCTAGATGTCTTGTTTTTCCTTTCGTTAATTTCCTCATTTGTCCCTCCGTTGCAGATCTGAAGCCCCAAAGCAACTCTGTCCCTACGGCAACATCCCCTAGCCTCCCCTGGCCCGTCATTATTGGAATACCAGCAGGTGTTGCCTTCATTTTAGGCACCGCCCTCCTCTGGTTCTGTCAATCAAAGCGCACCTGCTCCTCCTCTTCTTCATCCTCCTCTGCTCTTCCTGTTGCCCAGCGTCTGCCTGTGGCCAATCGTGACCGAGCCTGCCCAGCAGTGCCTTCTCAAACAGCCAACGGGGATAAAGATTGTCTTTCATATGAGGACTACATTGCCCATCAGCAGCTGCTTCTGGCTCAGGGAGGCGCAGGATTGGCTCCCAAGATCTACCCGAAGATCTACACGGATATACACACACACACGCATTCACATGTGGATGGGAAAGTGCACCAACACCAGCACATTCATTACCAGTGTTAGCAGCAAGGCTAACAGCAAGCTTTGGTGTTACACATTCAACTCTTACATGAACATGTTCCTGTGCATGCAGACTCATTCACAACAGTCCATACTAACTGCTGACGTACAGAGCAAAGAACAAGGACAGCCACATGCAAGAGAGCACGCAGTTCATGTACAGAAACATTGGATCACACAACTCTTCCTCATTCTGCTGCAGCCATGTTGTTGTGTAAACACGGACTTATTCAAGACACAAATAATGAAGAATGTAAAGAAAGAAGACAAAGATCCTTATTTTTTGCCAATCTGGATGCCTATCCAAAACCCCAAAATATGTTTTATTCAAGCTTTTTTTTATACGAACTCTTTTCTGAAGATGTTTAAATCTCTCTCAAAGGCCTTATTTGAAACCATAGTGAACTCTGCAGCTTCGAGGTAACTTTATAACCCAACAATTTATCTGTCTCTGTTCTTTTAGTATTTTGGACAGAACCACAGCCTCCTCAGTAAGAGTAGAAATACAGATTGCCTTCATTACAAGGTTCCAACTATAGTTACTCATGTATATAGTGGAATAAGATTATATGGCATTTAGCATGCTACTTCATCCTGGGTAATCTATAAAGAACAATATAGCATGTGTGTGATAATTTAGTGATATATCTCAGGCCTCAACCCAACTGAGCCTAAGAAACACAAATAAGACAAACTCCCACTGTAGGATGTAAGGATGCGAGCTGCTGGTTTTTGCTTCTGCTGAGCCGACAGCCCTTCTGATAAATGTCCGGCTGCTATCTGGGTAATGTGTGAAAAGATCTGATGTCAAACTGGGTTGCTGACTCCAGAGAGCATGTATCTGTCTTATTAGAATGATTTTAAATGCAGCTACAGGGAGATTTCTTCTACAACCTAGGAGCTCCTCAAGACGACAGTTGCAGAAGCTCTCCCAGCTCTGATTAAGTACATTTTCTGACCCTTTACTTCCTGGGGGTGGCATTTCTTGTTTGTCATCGTCTACTTTGCAGCTTTGTTTGATGCTTGCTGACTTTAGAAGAGAGAGATGAAGGATATCAGTTCTCCATATTTCATACATTCAACCTCTTTAGTCGAGGTGCAGTGCCTCTGTAAAATGGTGCCTTCTAACAACTGTTTCCAGATTTCGTGGATCAATGTTGGATCACTGGATATGTCACAGATTCTTGTTAATCTGTTATGAGATTGAAAGGGCTTAAAAGAGAGGAACATCCTCAGACTATGTACAAATACATAAACTGCTCTTAGTGCTTTACAATGGAAAGGAATTATAATAACATCCTGATACATTTATAGATATGTCTGGATTATTTGATTTGATCTGAAGATTTACCATTCGTTTTACTGACCACCTTAAGAGATGTTTAAAATAAAGAGATCTACAAATTTCTTTTATATGCATTTACATGTGGATTTTAGCCATTTTCTCTGTATTTGACTATAATTTGGTCTCATGTTAATGCCATTTGAAAGCCCTCACATACCCGTGGTACACCCCCACAAATGTTTTCACTCATTTTTGCTTATTAGACCTCCTCCAAGTGTGGGACAACTGAAACTTTTACCATTCTTATTCATATAATGAGTTTGGTAAATTTAGGTAATTATCAATGTTGCTCTACATGGCTTCATTTGTAAATGAGGTCCCCAACAGTTGTTATGAGTAAAGCAATTAGTACACTATATAAATGATCCTAAAATAAGCAGTTTTCAAAGCCAATTTAAGCTTAAGTTAGAGAGAGTAGATATAAAGTTAAGGTCACATTTGCCAGGTGATGATATTGTGTTTGGGATTGTAAAATCAAAGGGATCCACAAAATCCCAAAGGTCATTATGAAAAAAAGTCCAGAAGTCCATAGAATATCTTTCTTTTCTTTTGTTTTCTTAAATTTATTTTCACTAGCACTAAGATCTGTACTGCTTACTTACTTAACTGACACTACTAAAGCATGAACATAATTTGCAAAACTAGAATTAGTAAAGTACTGGTTATTCAAGGTCAAATAACAGGATTTCATTAGAAACATGCAGATTCCAATCTTTTCTACTGGGTATTCTCATGTATTAGAATGACTGTTAGTTATTCCTTTAGTCTTATTGTTTCATTGCATTTTGCATTGGCTACTCCTGATAGGTGTTGGGAAGTTCCCTCACACCACACCATGATAAAATCATTTAGATTGACCCAAAACTCATCAGAAACCAGCCCTAACAAACCTCCTTCCTTTCGCTCTTTCTCAGGTGTCCATCTTGTTTTTCCTGTGTGCACCCATGAATCTGACCACTATATAAACTCTGCATAAAATGTTATGCTAAGATTAAATCTAGATTTCAGCTGTTTTACATTAGAGCACCCTAAAAGACATACTCAGCCATGTGTGAGTGTAACAGTGGGGTGACTCTGGCCAGAGATGTTTAAACATAAAAATGAATGTCTGCTAAAGAAAGGAAAGAATTGTAGGCTTACCATGAAGTTGATTGCATTTGCATTAAGTCTGTGTTTCCTGCTGCAGACCTTCTTCAAGACAAAATACAACAGTGAGAACTTAAGGTGTAAATGTGTTACAATCATGTGACAGGAAGTGATATATTGACATCACCTGGTAACTTTAGTTACACATGTGGTCGATCTTTAGCATGAATTTTCCACATAAATATCAAGAAAGAAAAATGTACAACTATATTCATATGTATAATTCATATATGCCCATTTTTATAATACTCATTGGCATGTTATCTTTATCCTGAAAAGAACAGGGGGCCTGCAGACCAGAGCTTTAGAGTCAACGAGTAGCCAGTCTCTTTCTTTGTATATTTTCAATCCCTTTTATAGATTTTGTTTCAAACCTGTGAAGTCCTTTGTATTATTATAAATGTAAGGTGTAGCTTGTAAAACATGCAATCTTCAGATATGATTAGCCACACCTTTCTACCTGCACAAAGACCTATTTACGTAAATTAAGTATATGTGTTTCATATCCCCAACAGACAGCCTGCGACCAGTGTATTTCATGTTAGTGCCCTCTCTCCGTTCCGATATAACAAATAAAATGCATATGAAAGTACAAAGTACTAAAATTAAGTTAATTAGAACAGCAAAGAATAAGATTATATAAAAATGATTATTATTATATTACAGTTCCAAATGGAGACATTTATCATTTATTTTCCTCTCTAGAAACAGCGTAAACTGCATTAGTAGCTCTCCCTTTGATATGTTCTTCTTGTCCTCCCATCATTTCTGCTTTGAAACATCTGCTGAACAGCTGGAGTGTGTTTTTTTGTTTTAAAGTATTTCTTCCAATGTTGGAGGGATGGAAAAGTAAGTAACAGTAACATTTTCCTCAATGTTTTTCTGTGAAAATCATTGTCAACTCAGTTTTTCACTTATTTCACACATTAAACTCAGTTTAAAAGTTTTTTTGTGTCAAAGCTAATGGACTGCCAATAGAAAAACTGTGTATATGTGCACTTACCACTAGCATGTTCATGGAATGACATTACTGTTGAAATTATAGGAATTTTTGGATCGTTTAGTGAGAATGCTTTGGACCATACACTAGCTCTAGCAACACATTGACCCACAAAAATTGTCTCGAGATTCAAAAAGAAAGTGTGTTTCTAATTTATTTTGTTTTTTTCATATAATTGGGCATTATACTGCATGAGTGGATTTTGTGTTATACTAGTAACGTAAGCTATGTAGCAAATACCATGTTCACGTCATTGTAAGATACTGTATTTATACGTGCTGACGGAATATACAAAATTTTATCATTAATCTTTGTATCGACAATCTTGTACAGTCTGTTGTCATATAGGTTAAAAGTATGTTTTCTCCCATTTTAATCATTTTAATGGTGCCATTAAAAAAGTTAAATATATGTATTATTGTCTTTGTTCTTAAAGATTGAATCTAATCCACACATCTTGCTCCCAAGAAGACAGTAGGAACAAGAGATTTATGTCGATTAGTATCAGATACTCTTTATAGTTCTTCTCCCATGTCTGTTCTGTCTCTCACTCCTTTTCCACCTCTCTTTGTCACATCACAGGAAGACATTCCAGCACAGTGCCTGACTGTACCATGGGACTGTCTTTAAGCGGATGTCCTTCTCTAAATAGTTGTAGCCCTTCAATAGAATGAGCTGCAGCCGGCGATTCATCTGTCAACATGTCTGTCTGGAGAGATGACAGATGGACAAGTGGTGCGTGCAGATGGAGGGTGTGAAGGCCCAACATCTCTGACTCATTTAGGAGACGATGATGAAAGAAAACACTGGATGGGGTACTGCAAAAGGGTGGAAGTGGCAACAGGGCAGGACATGGGAACAGAATAGGATAATAAACAACTCACAATAGTATGTTGCATGTTCTTCATGTTTTTAGCAATTTCTCGTTTTTGCATTAAACTTCCTACTGCTAGCCCATGAAACGTCCTTAGACTTTGCACTGATGAAGTTGAGTATCTGTAAGTGGTGCTCTTCAATTGGTTGGTTTGGCATTTCTGGCTGTCACAGTGTAGGTGTCCATCATCCAGGACATCCTTACTTTTAACATCGCTGTTTGCTTTCTCAAAAACACGTTAAAGCTGTTTTAGCCACTTGGAGGCAGCAGTACAAGCTGTAAACATAACATCAACATATTATAATGTAAAAGTCGATATTTGTTACAAAACAGCCTATTTACACATCCAGCGGACATAGACCAACAGTAGCATTGGGAGTTGTGTTTCCGTTCAATCTCCTTTAAGCTCATTTTCCACCAACTCCAGAGGAAAATGTCTGAATCTTTAGCTGATGCATGTATGACTGTATTTCCCAGCTACTCAGTCACTAACCTTGTCTTTCTGCCATTTGATGCTGAGCAGGTAGCATACAGTGGGTTTATCAGAGGTTTTTGTTGTTGTAAACAGCTAAAAATGGTTAACGAGAGCAATGTGCGTGAACAGTGATAGACAGTTGCAGGAAGTAAAACAGTGAGCTGAAAGATCCCTAAGTCTAAGGGGACTTGCTGAGTCAGTGGATCATTATCTGTGGGTTCATCACTACAAGCAACCCCTTCCACTTTACATGTAGTCATTTAATCAATTGTTAACATAAAAATATTGATTAGTGCAGCTTTAACAAACAGTCAGTTCAAACAGAGGCTCTGGGTGAGGGACACCTGACCTCTTTGCTCTCTCGGCCTCTTTCCACTGAGCTTGTAATCTCAATCTCAAGCAGCAATGAGTAATCCATTGCTGCTTGAGCTGCCCTCACTAATCTTCCTCTGTTTAATCCAAGTTGATGTGGCTAGAAACATAAAGCACATCACTTCCTGTGTGGCAGTGGATTTTATGGAAATTGTTGATAACAATGTAGGTCCAATGAACTGACTTTAAGTCCAGTCGTTTCAGTTTTTGCAGTTGATCAGCAAATACTGTATCAGGGCATTTATTTATATGACAGTGCCATTATTACTTTGTTAGATTCTATAGTTTAATTTGAACATCTGTTTTCAAAACTATGAAACTACAGATAAAGCAATAAATAAAAGCCAGTTAGATTAAAAGACATTCCCAAATTTCATTTAAATTGGATCAGACATGTTTTGTATGTTTTATACAAAATATGATCATTAATATATACTTTTTATAAACATATACACTTTTTGGATTGTAAATTTGTAGATTAAGCAAGGGGTGGATGCTCTAGGGAAAGAAAACAAAATGAGAAAAGAAAGACTCAAAATATACAAAGAAGCAAAAGGAATCTGCGGTTTTGAAATGTTTGCAAAGTCAACAGTTACTCAAGACTATATGACCTAAACTAGGGATTTACAAATCCTGGTTCCCTTGGAGTTCAATTCATCTGGTAAGCTTCACTGGTAATAAATAAATAGCATGGGGATATGTAAGATTTAAAGCTATGAAAGACATGTTACATTCTACATTTTTGTAAGTGTGAGATGAGAGCAGAAAAAAAACAGGCCTGATAAAAGATACTGTACCAGGCAAATATGAGACTTTCCCAGGTTGTTTTGATCCTTGACATTCAACTCTCATTTTTTTTTTCTTGTCTAAGAGATTAGCCTTTTCCTGCTTTTTCGTGGTCCTGGTTATCTCCTGTAAATTTGATTGACTTGAAGAGTCAGTGGGGAGGACAGACAGAGGAGGAAAAGATGAAGAGACGCAGGGAGTAGGAGGAGGAGGAGGAGGAGGAGGATGACACAGAGCTGAGCTGCTGACAGATGTGTTGAGCTCACTGCTCCTCTGCAATGATGAGAGGAGATGAGAAAATGGAGAGATCAGTGAAGAGTGTGGAAGTGTCGAATGAAGGAAAAGAAATGTGCTGAACAGTAAGGGAGGAAAAATGTCCCATTCTCTACTTAGTCCTATAATGTTTCTTTCTTGTTTGCTTTCTATGCATTAATAACAATTTTTAAAAAGAGCGAACAGTGTAATAACTTTCAAACTCTTAGTGAAAAACAAAATACCATTTGGTGTTATGATTCTGGTGCAGCACCGAGACGTATCAACTGTGTATTTTTATTTAACCTTTGTTTAACCAGGTGAAAGTCTCGCTGAGATTATAAGCTTTCCCAGGAGAGGTCAGCACAAGACGTCAGCATACAGAAAAAGTTTCACAACAATAAACGTGTGAAGGCACAGGCCATCCTGTTACACAGAAGAGCTGAGATTTTCCTAAAACATGCATGCAGGTATTTGAAGTCTCAAGTGACCATCCAAATAAATTAGAAACAATAACAAAAGCATTGTTGACCCATTCAGAACATAACTAATGTGAACATAGTGAGCTGCATTATTTCAAAGTCTACTGTGTGTAATTTCACAAGGTGTGTAGTTGAATTATAAACAGTTTTCTTGGTCTGTGAAGCAAGCATTTTCTACCACAAAACAAATTGTTAAAAAAAACATTTTTATGTAGGCTCACTCAATCGTAGATAATGAAATCCTTTTTCTGTGATTTGCCTTTTTGCCCATTGAGATTTTTTGAATGGATGGTTAAATCTGTTTTGTGAAGTCTGTTGAAATTCTGGGCTTCTACTATGTGAATCATGAAAAAAAAACTGTAATTACTAAGATAATTTCAAAAAGGAAAACCTGTAAGGAAAATAACTAATTAGCTGATAACACAAGACATTGTTTATACTAAACAGTATGTCTCTGTGAAGTATAAGAGACAAATACAAATAGCAATTAACAAAAAATCTAGTATGTAGCTGACAGATATTCTCCAACTGAAAGTGAATCTTGAGCTACTGAGATGTATTTAAATCCTGTTTTGTGAAAAGTCATTATCACAGTATTTTAAAATACTTCTTTGTGGATATTTTGGTTGACAGACAGACATTGTTGCTTTCTTTTGCATGTACATGGCAATTCAGATCTTCATGTCTGGATGAAACATGTAGCCATAATATTTAGAAATCTGACAAGCCTTTTTCTAACTGGGAGTTCTAGCAGGCTGCTGTTGGTTCAGTAGACAAGTGAAAATCTACTGAAATTCTTACCTCTATCCCCCCACTGTCAGTATAGATATATTTGATACATTTATATTTGAACACCCCTCACAGAGAAGAAATTTTGTTGTTTTGCAGAGACGCCTTAACTCAGAGGGGGATACTTAAAAAGGTTCCTACAAAGACTTCTTATAAAGGGAAAATGACAATAGAAAAAAGAGTAGAGGTAGTGTTGTACATTTTCTTTGAAACCTTTTGTGAATGAAACGTCAAGCCTTTTAGAGTTTGTGGTTTTGCAGGCATTTGTGCTTCAGTGTGTATCACTGTGTCTGGTTTAGCAAAAGGGTGTGAATTCACTAAAGACATTCCTGAGCTGGTGAGATGTAGGATGACTCCTTTGTTGGGTCACTGTTTTTTTTTTGTTTTGTTTTTTACAGTTGTTTAGTGGTTGTTTGAAGCAGATAGATGCAAATATTTAAATAGTGTAGAATATTTCAGAAATAATCAGATGTTTTATGTAGTTGCATCATATCAATGGATACAAAGAGATAAGAGGCAAAAATTCTGCAAGTCCAGTTTTCTCTGGCTGTTGGAGTGCTTGCTTGCTACTCCAACCTGTGAGCACACTTTTCCCTGAATTTAGGCATTAAGTCATCACAATTATGTGATGCCCCCATTAAGATGGCTGCATTTTGACTAAATCTTGTTCATTGCCTGGGCAAATGTTTAGTCCTGTAGACCTTGAGGTCTTGCAGGACCTTTTGCTCACTCATAGAGGGTTCTGGTGTGTGGTTGGCTGGTTAAAAAGGGTGTGAACCCATGGAGAAGATTCCTGGGTGCTTGAGTCAATAGCAGCTGTGGTTGGTGATGAAGAGAAGCTGTCCAAAGAGCTTTTTACCAGCAATTGCCTTTTCACTGTGAAAGGACGGCTCAGGTGAATGGAGTCAGTGACCATGAAGGACTCACACACAGGCAAGCACCTGGGAAAAATACATTTACACACATCTACTCATAGAAACCCAAACTCTACGGATACACACACTCACCTGGAAAAGAGACTGACACAGTTTAGTAAAGTGCACATGCGTGTGTGCACACAGCTACACATGATTGCACACCGATGCACGCACACAAAAGTGCAGACACATGCATCACACACATACACATGGATGGGAACAACACAGACACCTGGCTGGCATTGAAGCGCTGTTTGCAAACCTCTCCCTCTCTCCACTCATCCTCTACACAGCCACAAATCCGCCATTAAAGCTAGGAAAACAAAAACACAAAAAAGAGGCTAAAAGGGGGCAACAGGCGGCTTCCATCCTTCCTCCCTTTCTCCGTCTCTCTGTACCAAATGTTTACCTTCCCCCAGTGAAAAGAGAGGGATGTGGTCAGACAGGGTGAGAAAAGAAAGAAA